TGGAGTCTCCAACTATTCCTGACCTCCAGTGACAGTGACGGCTTGTAAAGATTTCCTCCCTGGAAATGTGTGGATCTTTTTCTAAATACGAGCAAACTGTACAGCATACATATGTCACATGTTTAACTCTGTTTTTAAACTGGTCGCTTCATCATTGGTTGCATATTTTTATTTATCTGGGTTGAATTCAGAGGATAAAAGTTACATTAAAGTGACATTAAAGTCAAAAATGTTTTTCCCTCCCCCCAATGTTAATGTCAGCACTTACCTTAAATGATGTTTCTTCATCTGATCTTCTTCTTCTTTCCTGTCCTTTTCATGTGTCTTTCCAGCGCTGCGTCGGGTCTCCGATCCAGCGCTGACTCGGAGCTTGCTGGCACTTCCTGTCCCGCGGTGTCCGCATGCGGGTGCACGCGTCCATATACTTACCTTGTGTCTCTCCTCGCGTCCCTGCCGAAAATGTGATCTGCGCATGCGCCCGCACCAAGATGCTTTGCGGCCGCCTGAGAATTTTCACATTTTCGGACGGGAGCGCGCGGGGAAGACACAGGTGAGTATTAACCATTTTCAAAGTGTGTTTTTTTTTTTTTAACACTTTTTGCATATATCTACTGCTTGCAAGCAGTAGATATATGCAAAAAAAGCTGAGGCTTTAATTATCCTTTAATACAAACAGTAAGTGCTCATGCACACTGGCCCACTAGGGCACACAATTTAAAAAAGTGGGCTTTGCTTCTGTGCCATGTGTACCCCAGGTGCTGCATACAACTGCCAATAGATGTGAATGACTGTGCACAGATGTACACTAGACATGTGCACCAGCAAAACATTTGTTTAGTTTCGTTTTGATTGGGATTTTGCATTATTTAGTTTTTCGGATTCGGGTCAGAAATTACATTCGTTTTGGACGAAATTTAATTTTTTTAGTGGTAGTCTGGTCGAAATTTCGTTTTGGACGTTGCAGCAAAAGGAAAAAACATTTTTTTAATTTTAATTTCATTTTGCAGAAGATGAAAAAAAAAAAAAGCGTGAGGTTCCCCCCAATTCATACCAGACCCTTTACCCAAATCCCTACCAGAACCTTTAGGTCTAGTAAGAATTTTAAGGGGGAACTCCAGCCCCCCAAAATGGGGGGAAAAACCGTGGGGTTCCCCTAACAGCCCTACCAGACCCTTGATCCGAGCACTGGCCCGGCAGGGCAGGAAAGGGGGAGGGGCGATCATGCCGATGGGGACAAGGGCCTCTTCCCCACAACCCTGACCTGGTGGTTGTGGGGGTCTGCGGGCAAGGGGGCTTATTTGCATCGGGGTACACCTTTAAATAAGGGGGCACCCAGATTCCACCCCTGCCCTTGTGAATGAGTAAGGGGTACTTGTACCCCTACCCATTCACTAAAGGGTTAAATCAAATAGTTAGTAAAAAGTCCAGACTTTTGATAAAATCCTTTAATTGAAAAAAAACAGAGTCAATTTTTCACTATTCCTTTAATTAAAAAAAAAATGGCTCCATCGATGTAATCCAGTGCAATGTCGCGGAGATCACTTGTATGCAGCCTGCAGGTCTGCTATTCTCCATGGGGGGCGGTTAGTGGGTAGGGGTGCGCATTGAGGAACCGGGCCTTGTGGCAGCAGAGAGAGTAAATCCGGCTCTGCCTGTAGGTAACTGTAATCCACTTCTGGTGGCTGTTCAATAAGTTAAAACATGCAACAGAGTAACTTTAATGAGTCCACATTCATATAACAAGAACTTTGGTTCCTTTATTAAAGTGATACAGTCAGTGGTCCAGTGCTGTTTCCCAAAGACTCACTACTCCCCAGTGCAATGGCAGTACCAATGTCACCCCACCAACTTCCTGTGAGGCCAGACCATTATGGATTCACGTCTTATGCATCATCACCTTGGTCTGGGCTCACAGTACTCCTGGACAGTGAAGGACACACATTATCACGCCACTGGAGGAAGAACAGCAAGGATCCATGTCTGCGGTAATGGGATTATTTAAAAAAAAATTGGTGGAGGGGAGTCTTTAGGAAGATAGGGGGTGGTAGGTGGGGGGATTTAGGAGAAGTGGAGTTGGGTCCAATAGCATGGATGGTACTAATGTACATTTCTTTATTACAAGGCATTTACTACTTTATATACATTGTGCAAATGTGTATTTATTTACTGTATTCACTATATGATGGCAACAAATTCTGCAGCATTTTTCAGATTAATGATTCATATCAGTTCCTGCCCCGCTAAGCATGTAATCTAATATCCTTAGCACAGTCACACACATGCACACTGTGACGACATGGTGATCAGTTTATGTGTATTGGTTAAGTTAAATGTGTATTGGTATTGAGTTATGTTTGAGTGCGTTATGCTGTGTGACCTGGTTATGTAAAGCCTATCAGCACCATCCCTCGTTATCTCCCATTGTTCTCTGAGGGAGCTCAGAACAATGACATTCTGGCCAGGCTCCTGCCATGGCTGTCTGGAGTTCGTTAGCAGGTGGACACCTGTGGTGTTGAGCAGACCGATGGTCTGGGAGGGGAGGGTGGATGTGATGGGATTATATTCTGATTTCATCACTTGCTGTATATAAGTTTGTGCAGTTGCTCAATAAAGCAGAGTTTGTTTCACCTACACTGAGCCTTGGCTAGTGACTGGGGAAACTGGGAGCTAAGGATCTTCAGGTTCCAATATCTCCTCAGCAAGGAAGAAGACAGCGGCGGACATACTCATCCTGAGTACGGGGGTCCGTCACACACACTCTATCAGCAATTTGGATGAAAGTCAGGTTAACCCACCAATATATCTTGGTGTGTAGGTACCGCTATATTAAATCCATCTGGCACATTGTACATTATAGAAAGTGTTTTAACAGTGGCTTGTGAACAAAGATAGATACTAGTACATAGTGAGTTCAGGACAGAGCTGGCGACAGACGCCAACAATAGGGGGGTGTTGTAATGGGTGGACATTCTTATTGTAAAGCTGGCCATACACTCGTAGATTTACAAGCAAAAGATCTTTCTTTACCACCCGATAATGCCATCAGACACTTGACGAATGTCCAATGAAATTCCATTTTACTTTAACATTCGATTTTGGAATTAATGGAGTTTCCAGAATGAAAACCACATTCACTGTTAGAATTTTGTTCATTCCAAAAAAAAAATTCCATTCTGCCCCTTCGAGTTTTTTTCGTCTTTATGGTCGAAATCGATCGTCTATTTGGCCCCATTTACAAATAGAGAGTCATAAGAAAGATCTTTTGTACGGCAGTTCGTTCGGAAATCTACTAGTGCATGGCCAGCATTAGCACTCAGGGGCAGGGCCCTCCTAACCATCTCGTCTTGAATCGTATTGTAACTGTAATGTCTTCCTTAGGCCACATTCACACTTTACCTAATGCACGCAAGTATGTGTTTTCCATGCGTGAGTACATTCAATCAATGGACTGCACGCGCACAACAAACATGGGGAAACTACCTTATGCAACATTTTCAGCTGCGAGTAAGCTACGTTAATTTCGTGTGTATTTGAAAAAAAATGAACGTTTTCCCGGCCGTGTTTGGGGTTCCATGAACAAGTAATGGCACTGCAAGTGCATTGCACGCTTTGAACACGTTGCATGGATGTGCACCAAAATGCATGCTTCGGCGTGCGTTCACACAACACCAGGGTGTGAATAGGGACTCATATTGTAAAGTGCTGCACAAAATGTTGACACTATAAACAGTAAATCCTGAATAATAATACTAACAATGGAGACATAATAGGAAATACCATGTCTGTTATATAGGGGGCACGTCATTAAGCAGTTTATTGCTCCTGAATAATCCCTGGTCTGGGATTTGCACAATATTTATTGTAGGTTGTACTTGTGTTTATTATTATTATTATTATTATTATTATTATTATACAGGATTTATATAGTGCCAACAGTTTCCACAACACTTTACAATATAAGGAAGACATTACAATTACAATATCATTCAAGACAAGATGGTAAGGAGGGCCCTGCCCTTGAAGGCTTACAGTCTAAAAGGGAGGGGCAAGTGATACATGAGGAGGTGGCTGTGTGGGAATGAATTGTATGAGAATGTGATGGTTGAGCGGTTAGGTCGAGGTAGGATAGGCTTCCCTGAAGAGATGAGTCTTAAGGGATCACCTAACGGCAGTCAGAGTGGGAGATAGATGGACAGTTTGGGGTAAAGAGTTCCAGAGGATGGGAGAGACTCTAGAAAAGTCCTGGAGGGGAGAATGGGAGGAGTTGATGAGGGAGCTGGAAAGCAGGTGGTCTTTGGAAGAGCGGAGGGGACAGTTAGGGTGATACTTTCAGACAAGGTTTGACATATAGCCGGGGGCAGAGTGGTGGATGACTTTGTAAGTGGTTGTTAATATTTTTAATTTTATGAACTGCACTGCTCATACAAAAAGTACCTACAAAAAATATTGTGCAAAAGTAGGGTAGTAATTAGCACTCTTGCCAAGCTGGGGTTCTGCGTTCAATGCCCACCAAGGACACGGTAAGGAATTTGCATGATCTCCCCCATGTTTGTGTACCCAACCCTAAAACATACTGTAGCGTTACAGTACAGGGCCCGCACCCATATGTGAGCATGTGAATGTCAGTGTTGGGACATTAGATTGTAAGCTCCTATGAGGTAGACAGTGATGTGAATGGTTTGATGTTCCCTGTTCAGCGCTGCAGAAGAGCGTCAGTGCTACATACATTTGTAAATGGTTGGGTAGGTACCAATAAATCATTTTTATATATATAATATTTGGTTCCCATATGGTACACTATAAAGCATTGCTCTGTAAATTGGCTTGCGGCAAAGTAATAGGTAAGCAGCGAATACTGCTAGTAGCGATGTAAGTCAGAGTATGATCTGGCAGTGGAGAGGTTAAGAGAAGCACAAAAAAAAACCTGGCCCCTTATTTCCTCTGGATTGTCCTGCTCCTTTCTCTCTCTGTAGACCACTCCATTCCCTGGTGGCCTGGGGCAGACGGGGGCACCCTGTCAATGAGTCTGACTTTGTCCTTCAACTCAGATGCAGGAGCCATTGCCAGGATAAAGTGCCGCTTCCCACGCTCACAAAGGGGACCTATCTCTTCATCCTTCCATGTGGATAAGGATGTGATTTTTGGGGTACCAGATGGCATCTCTGTGACCTGACAGGCGCTTTCTGGGGCAAGGAGCGTTGGAAGGGTCAGGTAAGTCCAAACACTTTTGGAGAACAATGACAATGTTGAGCTGAGCTGGGTGAGGTGGGGGGTGAAGTTATCACAAAGACATTGGAATGGACCGAGGTTCAGATCTAGCTAGACCTCTAGGTGGAATTTTTTGGGAAGAAAACAAGGGCAAGACGGTTTCAGATGAATTTTAGTTTTTCTCTCTGAAGTTGCGTTGACATTATGGTCTATTTTACTCTTTGCTGTAGAAAGAGAAAGTTCTGTGTTCTTCTCCTCTTCATACATCCCCCATTGTGTTGTATGAGGAATTTCACTGCTCCCTAGACAATCCCTGATAGACTAGGAGACTACACTGATGAATCAGAGGCCAGATCATTTTCACTGAGTCAGCTCGGTTCATGCTGAGCAGATGGACATCACGTCTACCTGGTTGGGGATCTTCTCGAATCGTACTCATGAGCGTTTGGCAATGTGCCCACCCCCGTCTGAGATTAGCGGCTCTTAGGCACAGCATGAGCAATGGTCTGCTATAGAGATAACTGCTTTGTATGCCACATTGTATTTATTTAACTAATTTATACAGCAGGCAAATCCCCAGATTGACTGGTCCATCAATCCATGCTCCAGAAAGAGCTCCCAATTTCCCCAACACAGATACACTAAGACCAATATAATTGGAAGCTGGACTGTAGTGAACCCACAGAAACAAGTGGAGAGAAATTCCATCCATATAACAACCCTGGATGGAACTGACCCAAGGAATCCAGTGCTGTAAGGCATCCATTGTGACCACTAAGGTTCCCTCTTAACATTCAATTAAGGTCAGTGGATGAATCTTGTACAGCAGATATGTATTGAGGGTGACTAGAGGGCACCAAAACTATTATTGGTGTAACTAGGACTGATGAAGGCTCAATAAATCCGGACTTCCTTATTCATCATAGAGAACAAGTGCTTCCCTGGAGGGAACTGACCCCCCAGGAAACCAGTGCTGTAAAGCATCCATTGTGCCCACTAAGGCTCCCTCTTAGTATTGAGTTAAGGTCAAGGGATGAATCTTGTAGAGCAGTTATAAATTAGGAGTGACTAGAGGGCACCAGAAACTATTTAAGGTGTAACCAAGGACTGACGAGGGTTCAATGCTAATTCATCATAGAGAACGAGTACTTCCCTGGAAAGAATTGACCCCAGGGAACCAGTGCTGCTAGACATCCATTGTGACCACTGAGGTTCCCTCTTATTATTCAGTTAAGGTCAGTGGATGAATCTTGTAGAACAATTACATATGTGGGGTGACTAGAGGGCACCAGAAACTATTTTAGGTGTAACTAAGGACTGACAAAGGTTCAATAAATCTTAGCTTGCTAATTCATCATAGAGAACAAGTGCTATCCGGCAAAGGCCTGAATCAAAATCAAAGGGCCCAGCTGCAAAAATGTTCCCGCCCCCTATTTGAGAAAGTTCTGCAAATGTTTTAGGAAACTGGTCGGAGATGTGAGTACAATGGCCAAGGTTTGCTAATCCAACAGGACCAGTTGTTCTTTAGCCTGAGACTGGTTGGTGAAGGGTTTGTGCTGCTGTCTGCTGTTACCCATTAACACCAGGACAATGGCCTGATGGAGACAAAATCAGGTGGAACAATCTACGATCATATCATGTCATAATATGCAGAAGTAAGACGCAGGAATAAGTAGACTCCAGTTGCTAGCTTTCTTCTAAAAATGTCGGTTACCTGGTTGTTAAGCCGATCCTCTGGCTTCTGACTCACTCCCTAGTATGCAGATCAGGAGGATCAGGAATACTCAGTTCTCCCTTGTTACATTGCTGTTGTGTGTCAGTAACACAAAAAGGCGCGCGTTCACGGCAAAGTGTGAATGGGGCCAAAGTGCTAGCATTGGGTGCTGCCATGACCAAGACACCCATCAGAGATCGGAGACTGGACTAAGGGAATAATAGCAGTGGAGGACCATGGTAGATTTAGTAAATTAAAATTCCTCTTATGCATATTTTACACTGTCATGTTTTAAACGTTTTAACTCAATGGCTTGATTCACTTAAAATTTTGCATTGGAACAGGAAAACAAGAACTAAGGGGTTGCTAGGAGGAGTCAGAAGACTCTTTATATTTTATTGCTTTTTCTCTGTGATTGATATTTACATTTTGCTACTTATGGGAATATTTAAAGCTGAACTCCGGGCACAAAAAGCTTAAAGGAGAACTATGGCGTCAGGGCTTTTCCCTATAGTTCTCCTAAGGGTAACGGGAGGACACAAACTAGCGTCCTCCCGTCACCCTAAGCTCAGTATAGCGCGTGCCACAGCTCGCGGTATACTGAGACGCCGCAGCTGAAACGGATCCCGACAATTATGTCTGGATCCGCCCAGCTGCTTGAGTGACAGCTGGTTCTGCCTATCTAGAGGCAGAGCCATCTGTACCCGCCCCCTCCCCCGTCCGTTCCGCCTTTCAGCGCTGGAGGATTGGAGCGGGGAGGAGGGAATCCAGTCCCTCCCCTGTCATGGCTCTCTGCCGTGACAGGATCGAGAAGTGGGCGAACGCCGGTATGTGTTCGCTCACTTCCCGATCTACTGAGCCGACCTGTGACAGCCTTATTGTCACAGGTCGGCTAGAACTATGAGGATGAGTGAAAATCACTCACCTCATAGTTCTCCTTTTAATTTAAATATATTCCTCCGTAGCCACCAAGGATATAAATCCGACTTGTGTGCTTTGCAAACCCATTTATAACCTTATAAAAGCAATGGTGTCACGATCACTGTGCTGAACATAGCCTGTGCAGAAAACAGAGCTGTGGGAAGGGTCCAGCTGGCTCCACTCACTACAGGCTGCTTACAGAAAACTAAAGGAGGGGGGTGGAGACAAGACCAGTCACCCTGCACAAGGACAGAGGTCAGCAGTGACTGGCCCTTATGACAGGAAGCTCCTGCACAGAGGTTTCACATTGGATCACAGCACAGATCTGGAAGAAATACACAAAGCTCAGCAAGATTCAAGATTTTTGATAAAGTTGAAGTTTGTATTGTTCATGAACTTCTATAAGATTTGACTGAAAGCAATTAGTAGTTTGTATCACTACACGACTTGGAGATGGATAACAGGGAAGGGGCCCCCTTTGTGGTTTTGCTCTGGGCTCCCAATGAATGTATAATGTTCATTTTTATTAAAAAAAGAGAAAAGTTTTTGATTTATCAGTAATTGGTTTCCCTTTGTCACAGGCAGAGTACCAGTGAGGGGGAATGAGGGGGAATGTGGCTGAGGAGCTGTGGAGGTGTTCATTTAGGATACATTAACTTGTATTCTTCAGGCCTGAGGCATTACAAGCTTTAGTTCTGTCTGGAACAGATGACTTGTGGGACGCTTAATGTACCCGGCGCATATTTCAGCGCTTGTACTATTTCCGATACGTATAGAAGTCTGATGACAGATAAAGATGAACAGACCCATGGAAATTGCCTTTTTCTTTGTTCGCCTAAGACCCTCATTCCACTTCTTCCCAAGCTCTGCTCACATTGGTCTTCCACTAGGAGCGGTTCTTAAAGGGAAAACAGTGAACACATATTAGTTTTTACTCTATTATTTGACTTCATATATCTTTAGGATTATGATTTGCTTCCGCATTCTTGTTATGGTATAACTATAGGTGTACTCCTAGACCAGGAGGGGGCAACTCTGGCCCTCCAACTTTTAACTACAAATCCCAACATGCCTCTGGGAGTCATGACTGTAACTGTCAGTCTTGCAATGCCTCATGGGACTTGTAGTTCCACAACGGCTGTAGGGCCTGGAGTTCAGCTCTGTACTGCCCTACAGTTAGGCCCAATTCACACCATGGTGTTTCCCAGGAATGTGCTTCACATTCACGCGTGTGCATGTGCGGTAGTGTGCTGCATTTGTCGCACGTTCTCAATAAAGCATGCAGGATACAAAAACGCAGAATGCATGTTGCAAAGTTTGCTACTGGGCTTATTTTGCCGCGTTTGTCACATGATTAGGAGTCAGGAGCCCCATTGAATTTGATGCAAGCACGGAGGAAGATCCAGTGACTTCCTGGCCGTTTTGGGGTGCCATTAGAAATGAATGGCAACGCAAGCATGTTTTGCATCTCCCCACGTTTTCATCAAAGTGTGCGTTTATGTGTGCGTTTGGTGCGTGTTCACAGAATGCGCAGGTGTTTTTTTACACATACAGCAATGACAGGCATTTTTGCGCACTGGATCACGTCACCACTAGAGCACATAGTACACAACTGTTTTCTCTGTCTTATGTTCAGACCACAATGCCGGTGTGATGTGCGTGCGGTGGGCTGCGGAAAAATGTGGACATACCATGTTTTTCCGCAACGGACTGGCTGCCACTGGAGGTCACTGCGTTGCAGCGCCATGTACAGCACTGGCGCGGGAAGGCATAAATAGAGTGTATACATTGTACTTGCCAAATAAAGTTATAAAAAAAAGTAAACGGCTTCCTGCAGAATCAGCTTGTCCCCCAAGGCCTGTATTGAGGTGGTTCCTTTCCTTTGTAGGGTCCTAGGGAGCCACCCTTGTGTATGCCAGCAAGCTGTGTGTGTCTCCACAAACACATAGACACAACAAAGCTTCTTCCCTTTCCCTTGCTCCTCCTTACAACACAAGGCACCGCGGCTTACCGCTGGGTAACAACTATCTGCTTTTTACCATGCAGCTAGTGTGAATGAGCCCAAGCTCAGCATCCCTGCTTGAGATATCAGTCACCTAGAGAACGCATTATTTACTATGCACTGCAAACCCAATGACTTGGAAATACATAGGAGCAGAAAACTGCAACCACCATGCAGCGCTGCAGCTCAGGAAGCAGAGCCTGTGCATGTAATGAGCAAATATGGCGGCTCCCATTACATTTAGAATGACAAGCTCTACATACAGACAAGGCTTTCTATATGTTTATCTGAGTGCAGCACAGTAAAGCCTTTTTAGAACAGAAGGCATTCACATGAGTCATTCCATCACATTTTCCAAAAATAGGA